TTTTTCCTTTTGATAACAAAATATCTTTTATTGAAGAAGTATTGTGGATCATACTTTAATTTTCACCTATGATAATTTTATAGAGAGAAGATGTATGCATAAAATGGTTTTAAGACAGTGTGTGGAGCAGCTTGTTTCCTTTGTGCCTCTTCAGACATCAGCTGCAGTTGATTTATTTTTTCCTTTTTTTATTTACTGTTGTTTTGCTATTTTTTCTCGTTATTTGTGATTTGTAGATTGGTCTCCAAGTTTCAGAGGATTAATTTTCCACTGATCGATTCAGGGAATGGTTAATCAAGCATCTGTTTAAATAGCAAGCTGAAGAATAAAATCTATATGCTTTCTCAGCCTAGGAGTAAACAGAGGCTGTGTGCCTCTTAGGGAGATTTTCTTTGTTAACCTTCTTACCATTTTGTTTAAAGGAACTTATCTTTCTCAATACCAAGTTTTTTTAAGCTAGGAATCTGGCTGCACAGCTTGTTCTCAGCATCTTCATACTCTTCCATAGAAAAAGGCTGACTCAGCTTACCTTTCTTAGAAGTCTCTGTAGGCTGATGCACAGCAATGTGTAAAGAAAGCAAAAGATGCTACCCAAGAGTTGTGTGTGTGATGTTTTTTCTCTTGTGTCTTTTTTTTCCCTTTTTTTCCCTTTTTTTTCTTTTCTCCCCCTAAAAAAACCCCCCCCCCCCGCTTGAATTATAACAATTACTGTTTGGCTATATTTGGCATAATTGAAGCTCATGAGCCATTAAAAGGTAGCATTTCTTATGTGTGTTTTTTAGTTATGGGAGGTAAGTATTGATGGAAATTTAAAAGCTGTAAACAAACTCACAGTCTTTTTAATTGCTGCGCCCTGTTTTTCTGTTTCTTTAGTTGTTATGGATGCTTTCAGGGTAAATGAGATTTTGTCTTCTGACATAAAAATCAAGTGGAAAGCATTTCACGTTATTCCAGAAAATATCTATGTTTAATATGTCACAAGAAATCAAAAAAAGGGGTATGATCATGTCCCTGGTCACTGTACTTTAATAGTTTAGGTCAATACTTCCCTAATTTCTAATTTCAAGAAAGCTCACTAGAGGCTGTGGTGAAGGTTACTGCTGGGAGGGTTATTTTATAGTAGTGCCTACTTTTCAAAAGTGGAGTGGGTACCTCAATATTTTGTTTCCTAATGTTATCCTTTGGCAAAATAATTGTATTTTTAGTTTGCAGCGTACTCTAGGAACACAGAATTTGCAAATTGCTGCAGATGAGCTTGAGTCTGTTAGCCTGTTAGCAAACATAGACTGAGATGCAGGTGTTGCCACGTAAACTATCAATATCGTAGAGGTGCAAGCAGCTAAGAGCCAAGATGATGAATGCAATGATTAAGTAAGTATGATGTATTTATATTTTATCTTGTTAGTAGTGATAACACTGATAGCAATGATAATATTTAGGAATCAAGTTTTCTTGCAGTTAATTATTTTTTTTCCTCTTTCTTGCAGTAAATATAGCCCTCGCCGTAGCAGCAAATGATCCGGTAGGTGAACATCTAATTAATGTGAGACAAGCATGTGTGTCATAATTAAAATGGGTACTGCTGGGGGCAGTCGCATACATTAAATCTAAGTATGTACTCTGACAGTTAATTTCTCTACTTGGTTTTCATGGACCTTTGAGTTTATTTGTTTTTATTTTATCAGTACCATGAATGACTTAGTAGCTCTCATCCTTCATCTGTGTTTGTCTGTGTCCTTTCTCTTGTGTGTCTCTAAGTTCAACTGCAGTTCTGCAAGGATGTGTAGACATAGTAGAGGATGTTTGTGCAGGTTGGACACACATAATAAATAATTAAATTCTATCACTTCAGAGCACTGACTTGGAAAAAATATGAGTAAGTGCTGGATGGTATCCAAAACATTTTTTACAGCTCTAAAGATTCACTTTTTCTGGAGAAATTAATGTGTAAATCAGCTTTATAAATAAACAGCTGAGGGGAAAAAAAGAGCTGTGTATCTTCCCTAAAGCTTGGAAATACATTCTTTGAGTGAGAAAATATTGTTATCCAGTTTGGTTTTGTTCAAACTGTTATTTGGACTATAAATGGACAGCGGGAATCATTCAAGTGTAAAAACAATAGCTCTTTGTTATGTCCACCCACTGCTATAAACTGGGAGTAGTGCCATTGTGTACATTTATTGCCACAGAGGTAAACTCAGAAGCAAGCTTCACTTTTTTTTAAGGGTGTAGTGTATAATGCAGGTTTTGTACTTGTAAAGCATTAATTAAATAGAAAGTATCCTCAAGTACTTAAAAGGTAGCATCTTTTTCTTGTAAAAGATGAGTAAAAGAAAACAACGGGTAGAGGGAGTGAGGTTTACATGCGATCTGCACACTTGCTGTAGGAATTTTTTAATAGATTTAAAAAAATGTCCATAAACTCAGTCATACTTGATAAGAAGAGAGTGTTTAAAGCTGTTATATGAAATATGTACTCTTTGTAATAGCATCTGATCTTGGTATTTCACAGTTTTTGATACTATGTTTTGAATAGGCTGCTGGAGTAATTTGATTTCAGAGAAAAATCTATCAACTTGAAAAGCAAAACTGCTTGAATGGTTCCTTCTAATTAACTTTAAGACATGGCATTTGCTGTAATACTTTTACAGAACAAATGTGATCCTGCAATGAGATCTGTGTTGTGGCAGGGTCATTGAGTAGCTCTATGGAAACCATGTCAACTAATTGCACATAACTTTCTGTACCGGCTTAATTGTTTTCGGAATTTGCCTGATAGTTTTCAAACATCCAGTTTTGTACATTGTTTATATTTAGATAAAGCGTCTCTCAGTAATTCTGACATACCCAAGTTTTGTGATTCTGCCCTTTGCTAGGAGTCAAGCACCTGTCTTTAAACAAAATAATGTGATACCCTGCTTCAGTAGCCCATTAAAACACTTGTAAAGCACACAAATAAGAGAGACCATAGTCTAGAGTGATTGAAGAGGTTGTTGCTGGAGTTATTTGGAAAATCAGGGGCTGAGAAATAATTTTAAATGAAATTGAGCCAGCGAAGTTAAATAAACAGAGAATAAGCTAGTCAGTTATGTTATGATTATGTAGTGGTATAAAATCGGAGGCCATCATCTGGAGGAAGTTAATCAGCGAAGAGCACCTGAAATTGATGAAATAGCTGTGACTTGCATGCACTGATGGTCACAAGCTAGCAAGCTGCTACCATGGTGCAATTGTGCATTGATGTAGTTACAGGTTGGAGAATACAAAATTAAGGTGGATTGAATAAGCTTAACCCTATGTTTGTTCATGCATTTATATATATATATAAATGTAATGATGACATATGTTGTGTTTATGTTTAACCTTTAGGCTTGAATCTGCTGGTGTGTTCATTTGCATACTCCCCTTGATTACAGCTCACTACTTTTGTGAGTCAGGGTTATGAAAGTAATATCTCTGGGACCTTGGTTCAGGCTGGGATTGTCCAGTGCTCTGAGTTGCAGGGATCATTGCAATGTTCAGTTTTGTTATGGTGAAATAAATACAGAGCTTATTTTCGGGAGTCCATTGGTGCCTCCTAAAAAAAATTATAGTGGATTTCTTTGACCTCAGATATGCAGCAATGGACCTCTTCATTTTACTTTTGATAACTACTGATTGTGCATCACCTTCATGTGGTTTCTCTTCCCTTCATTGCCATTCCAAGTTCACCTCTTTCTGAGGAAGCAGTAATGTTCAGCCTGGAAAAGAGAAGGCTGCGTGGAGACCTTATAGCATCCTTCCAATATCTGAAGGGGGCCTACAAGGATGCTGGGAAGGGACTCTTCATTAGGGACTCTAGTGGTAGGACAATGGGTAATGGGTTTAAACTTAAACAGGGGAAGTTTAGGTTAGATATAAGGAAGAAGTTCTTCACAGTGAGGGTGGTGAGGCACTGGAGCAGGTTGCCCAAGGAAGTTGTGAATGCTCCAACCCTGGAGGCGTTTAAGGCCAGGCTGGACAGAGCCTTAGGCGACATAGTTTAGTGTGTGATGTCCCTGCTCATGGCAGGGGGGTTGGAACTAGGTGATCTTAAGGTCCTTTCCAACCCTAACTATTCTGTGATTCTGTGATTCTATGTTGCTTTTAGTAGATTATAGCATCATTACAGTCCCTGTGTCTCTTATAAGGCAAATACAGATTTATAGAAGCTGATTCTTGATGTACTGCTTAAAGGAGGAATGAAGGGGCTTGTGAAGAGAGGTAGGTCACCATGACAATACAGGTCTGTGCTTCTTTCATTAGATAAAGTCTGTTTCTGTTACAAGTTCAATGTTTGTAACTAGATTTTCAAATTAAGTATATACCAGAGCTAAATGACTTTAAAATAATGTTGTCTTCTGATCTTTCAAGTGTTCTTTTTCTAAGATTACAGGTCACAGGCTATCAAGAACAATGTTTTCTAGTGAGGGAGAATCTGTGGAATATGTTTTCAGAGGAGATTGGATTAGAATAGATTCTTGTTGCTTTCAGTAACAGCTGTGACATCTTGTTGTTTGATAATGTCATAAAAAGGAAGATTAACAGTCAAAGCATAAGGAATATTTTGTCCTCTTGATAAAGGAAAGCTTCCTTCCATCTTCTTTTACAAGTTGACTTAAAATAGTTAAAAAAAAAAAAAAACAAAAACAAAACCCCACTGTTTACGTAAATAGGTTTTTCTCTCTCTCTCTTTTTTTTTTTTCATGTGAAAGCTTTTCCAGTTACACTGATCGTCTGAAGTATGAAGGCATCGACAGAGCCTTGGACATTGTCACTGGCACACAGTGTTGTTGGCAGAGCTGTGATTAGAATTCAGGAGTTCAAGTCTTGCATGCTGGTGCTCAGTCTGTTTGGCATATTTTTGCCTCATGGTTACAGAGTAAATAATTCAAGACAGGATTTCATTTAGATGCCTAGATACCACATCCAAGACAAAGTAGGTTTTTGGGGAGTTTTGTTTTGTTTTTTTTTGATGCAAAGCCAGGGAAGCAAGTCTGCATTAGAGGGCAGCGTCTTATCCCTTTCTGGAAAACTAGGCTTTTGGTACCCTGGGTTACCTGTTGTAGATGGATTAGTTAAGAATTGTGTAAGCTATTGGGCCTGTACCAAGACCTATAAATCTATACAGTGTTCTTTTTGTGTTAAAAGTTTTACCCTTGTGTCCTATTTTTAATTGCTTGCGTAGTTCGACAGCTGATTCTTTTCATTCTTTTGATGTACTAGCAGCTCCCCTAGGAGCACTTGGGAAGAATTTTTGGGTTTCATGCCAGGACAATTCATATTCAGACTAGAATGACTATTTATGAAAGCTGCCTGGCCAGAGACAATTTATTATAGTAGAAACAAGTTGAATTAATAGATGGCAGCAATAACAGGATAGAGATTGCTTGTTTATGAACAGAGTATTTTAGTGAGCAAACACCAGCTGTGCATGACTAAGGATGGCACAAATCCAGTTGGGAGGCTGCATGCTTGTGCTGTCACTGTGAGGCAAGCTCCCCAGTCAGATTTCCTTTGACTCTTCTTTCCAGGAAGATTTACACTTTTCCCTATAGGTTGAAATGGTTTTTATGTTGCAAAGGACAGAGGAGCAAGAAATAAAACCATAAGGAACAAATTAGCATGTATGTGTAAGCAAGTGGCTTCTGCCTGCAGTAGTGGTGGCACGTGATTAAGGGCATCAGTTCTAACTATTCCAGCCTAACTCCGTGCCAGGGGATTATTGGGTCAAGCAGACCAGGACCAACACTTGAAATGCCAGATTTAAAATACAAGGGTGAGTTATCTTAAGGAGTGGCCTTTATTTTCACTAGCAAACCACTGGTTGCTGAGCAACATAGTATTTTAAATGGAAGGCCATCCATGTCTGTGTCCACATGCAGGCGGGCAGGGCAGGCTGGCCGCAGAGGGAGTGCAGGAGGCCGAGCAGGATGCTTCTCCCCCTGGGGTTGCATTTAACCTCTGGCACCAAAAGGCAAACGCATTGTCTTGTAATGTAAATAAAGCTGGAGAAAGTTGATGATTAGCTACATGAAGAACACTTATTCAAACAGTGCCACAGTCAAAATGTCACAATGCAGGTTTTGTTTTTATTTTTGAAGCAGAAAACACATGGATATCAACCTGTTGTACACGGTTAAGAGGTTTCTCACAAATATATAGTAAGTTATAGCATAGACATTATGTAGAGAGTCTTCATGTAAATTCACTGTTGTGATAATAAAATCAGTTTTAATTATTTCAAACTGCGTATTTAATCAAACAACACACGTTAATTTTGAAGCTACTCAAAATCCACTCAGCCTGTTTTCCTTACATTCCGGTTTTTTTTCAAATATTTAGCTATTGTGATTAAACTGTTTGTATACAGGATAATACTTGACTACTGCATGAATAGATAGCCTCACAATATATATACATTTCTTTCTGGTAAGGAAAGAAATTCCGTATGGGGGGAACAAACAAATCTAGAATAATTTAGACAATAATGGGCTCCTTCAC